AGACTAAGCTGGCCTTGAATTCACAGAGATTTGTCTGCCTCTGCCTCCTGAGTGCTATACTTAAAGGCATGCACCACCACACCCCGCCTACTAATTCTTAATGAAAATGTTTCAAGGCATATCTTTGCTGAGACTTTGTCCCTTTCTGGGTCAGTTTGATCAGTTTTGCCATCCAGAATTTAGCATCAGAGGTTCTAAGCAAAATATGTATAAGTTGATATAAGGTCATTGCCTTAGTTTCCTTTCCTGTTGTAGTGATAAAATACTATGACAAAACAACTCAAGTGGGAAGATGTTTTATTCAGGCTCACAGATACCTACTATCACAGTACAAGGGTACAGTCTATCATGGAAGGGAGGTCAAAGCAGCAGGAGCTTGAAGTACCTGGTCACATCACAGTCAGGAGACAGAGGCTGATGAGTTCGTGCTAGTGCTCAGCTCACTTTTTCCATTCAGAACCCTCTACTCAGTGAATGATTTCACTCACAGTTAAGATCAGGCTTCCTACATCAATTACCAAGATCTACATAATCACATCCTCAGAGACCCATTTCCCAGGTGATCCTAGATTCTATCAAATTGCCAATTAACACTAATCATCACAGTCAGATTCTCCTGGACTCCATGCACCCCAAAGAATTCTAAGCTTTCTGCTGCATATTTGCAGAGCTGTTTAGGGGACTCTTTAATCATAGCTCTTGATTCATGTTGGATTCAAGGTTTAAATTCAACAGTTGCCTGTATGCCTGGCTTTTATGCAAGAGATGGTTTCCTAGAGGCAAATGGCATTTGGGGTTTGGTTTTCATAGACTTGTTGGGAAAAGGTAGTAGGTCTAGAGAAGGAGAAGAAAGGCAAGGAAGAGGGGGAGGACAGTAATCACAGGATAAAGAGGGAAAGAGAAACCTGAATGCAGAGGCAAGTGGAGAACAAGAGAAGAATTTCCTATAGAATGGCTCTACTTTGGTGTTGACTTGGTCAAATTACTCAATGACTATAACCAAAGAATCTTTTTGTAAAGCTCTTTGTGAAGAAGCTGTTCATGTGCAGGCCTCTATATCAAAAGATCTTGAATACTATAGAGGACACAGAAATAGAGATTGTTCCTTGATGCCACAGATTTTTAAAGCCATGGATAGATGGACAGACAACAGCATGGCAGGGGCTCTAAGGAGTCCAGGCCTCAGCACCAGAGATAGACAGCGTGGAAGGGGCTCTGAAAACAGGAATCAGGGTCCATGTGACAGAAAGGAGGATCTCTTCTTTTACCTTTCTGAAGGAGGGGGAGGTTTTATAGCACAAGCCTGCAGCAAGGCTCTCTGAATCCCAGGCAGGAGGCAGAGAAGGGGAAGGAGAGCAGGATGTGTGGCCACCAATGCTCCCTTTTGATGTAAATTTACTTTTAAGGGTAGAGATCCTGGCCTGGGGAAGTCCGTTAAGGACTCACAGACAATGTCTCAGTAGGGTGCCTGTCAGTACCTGGGAAAGGGGAAAAGCTGCTGCCTGTATTATGGTACCACCAGCAAGTGGATTCTAACATTACATTCTTACAAGTGCCAATCAGAAAAATATGTCCCACTGGGTCTGAGAGATCATATTCCATTTCTCTTCGAAGGTGCTTCTCAGACAATTTTGTTGACATGCAGGATTCCCTGGGAAGTCATTGAAGGCCCAAATCATCTTTAACAAAATTATGCCATTTAGAGAGATAGCCTCAAGGCTTAGAATTATATTGAACATATAGGGGGAAAAATAGCACGGGTGATCTCACAGGAGTCAGCAGCAGCTGGTCAAAGTGAAGCTTATGTGCTTTGCATCTTGAGCTTCCAAATTGCTGATTAGCTGCCTCCCAATGAAGACCTGAAATCTATGCTTCCAGGCAGGTGGAAGGACAGAGAGAATGGTCTCTGCATCAAAGTCAAATTCCAGGTGGAAGAATGATTTTATCTGGTTCTAGTGGTGACTTTCTTAGCTACTTTTCTGGTGCTGTTATAAAGTTGATCAAAAACAACCTGAGAGAAAAAGGGGTTCATTTCAGCTTACACTTCCAGGTCACAGTCCATCATCAAGGAAAGTCATGATTGTTAGGGTCCGTGACTCGATGGGTCCCCTCCAGGTAACAAACACACGGGATTGGAGATGTAAAAATCAAGCAGAGTCTTTACTTTTCCAGCTAGCTGGGGCCGACCGGCTTCCCAAGACATGCAAGTCTGGTCAGAATGATCGACCCCCATTCAGTTTCAGGTACAGATTATATAGGCCCACACAGTCATTACACAAAAAGCATTCCTCAGCAGACACTTTAATCAATCATCTTCTAAAAGCTATAGTTTCGGTTAAACATCTTTTCCAGGAAGGGTAGATCTGGTGTAAGCCTGGCACAACCTCCCTCTTTTGTTCCTTATCGGTTATCTGGTATGTGCAAAGAGGCTTACAGGACACATTGTAAATCAACTGAGTCAGGGGTCCAGGGTCCAGGAAGGAGGTTTACAGCACTTCAATTCTTAACATTTCAACTAGGTTAATCATCCATGTGTGGTAGATACAATCAGGCAGAACAGGCAAGCTAGCAAGTAAATCTAAATCAACGTTTTAAACAGAGTTTTCTATCAAAATGCAGAGTTCTTACAGCATTCATCAAGGTATTTTATTTTTTTGTCCCCAACAATGATGTCAGAAACTCAAGCAGGGACTGAAGCAGAAATCATGGAGAAATGCTGCTTACTGGCTCACTCTTTGACTCATCAACTACTTTTCTTATATAGCCCATGACCACTTGCCCAGGGATGGTATCATCCACACTGGTCTGGACCCTCTGACATCAATTAGCAATCAAGACAATCTGTCACCAACAGGCTCACAGGCCAGTCTAATGGAGGAAATCCTTCAGTTGAGGTTCCTTCTTCCCAGATGGCTCTAGATTGTGTCAAGTTGACAATAAAAATCAGCTAGCACAGTGACCCATAGCAAAGTTTGTTTGAATGCTGGTGGAGTGAAAACCACACTGATCTGTGAAGCCAGCTCAAGCTAAAGGCTTATGGATCCCACATCTATCTCATCTACACTGTTAGACAGCACAATACAAAACAGAACCAAAGCAAAGCACAAAAAGGAATAAAAATGACTGATGTGACTCAAATGAAGATACTAAACATTAGAAACTGATAAGAAGCCTAGATCCCTTGACAGTCAAATAACTCAAAGTTAATGGTAATAGAGCTCCAATGCAATGCTGACCTAACTAACACCCATCAGTGTATGCTCAAAAGCTGTGAGCAGGAGGGTACAAGGGGCATTGGTAAGCACCATATCTGGTAGCGCCCCCAGTGGTAGTGTAAATCATGTCTGTGGAATCTTTAGGAAAACTTACAGAAATAAACATGTCATTTTCACAAAACAGAAGCTACCCAGAGCTTGCTGTAGCAAGTGATTCATCTACTATATAAGTGAGGGAAGAAGTTCAAAAACAGGCAGGGGACTGAGAAAGTTCTATATTGAAAATAATAGAAGGCTTTGGACAGGCTCTCTTTGGATTCTAGCATGGAGACTCTGAGGGAAGGCTAGATGCAGTGCACTTTGTGTTTGGGGAGCTTATCTGGCCTCCTCTGCTGAGCTTATGTTGTAAGTAGAGCAAAAGCTACGTCAACTGACTCACTGAACCAAGTCCTAACATTCTGCACCATTTCCTGCCAGGGTTATGGTTTGGCACACTGGAATGGTTGATGCTGAGGTCACAGGTTAACTCTCTGAGCAGATAACTACAGAAGTTGTAAGTCAGGTTCTATTGCCAATGCCCATTTATATACTCAGTCTTTCACAGTGGGGTTTTAGCATTGTTGATATTAAAAATGGATGCCTGCTACATCATATTTTGGCTTTTTTTTAGCTACTAAGATGGCACTCATACAATATATTCATATAATATTTGTTAATAAACTTTTCAAGTTTTAAATGTACTTTTAAAAGTGTATCCCCCTATTTTTATAACTTATGATCCTGAGATGATGATTATCTACGGTCATGCAAAGGATTAAGGCTAGAATCAGGATTAGGGCATAGAACAGAATCATCTCTCCTATATATAACTCTATCTTTTTTTTTTTTTAATCTATTATTAATATCTTATTTAATACTATGATAAAGGATATTTTCTGATCTTGTCTAATTTTATGGCTTAAAGTTAGGATAAAACCTTGAATGATCACATGACAGGTCATGCGCCCTTCAAATACCTGCAAAGCTATCATGTGGAAGAGGAATTGGTTTTATTCCTATGGCTCCAGATGGCAGAACTAGTGCAAGTGAGTGGAAGGAAAGCAGGTTTCAACCGTGATTATGAGCTGTCTTCCTAATATGGAGATACTTGGCCTCAAAAAACCATGTTGCTTTGTGAAAAAGCCAGTTCCTACTATCTCATAAAGTTTAAGAAGGGCCCCATGACCTTCATCTTACAGCTTGCATAAGCTGACTACCCCAGCTAGCCTCAAAGACCTTCATAAATTTATTAAATTTGATTAAACTTAGAAAAAAGGATAGGTGTTTTCAGCACAGCAGTTTAAAAACCATTCAAATTCCGGATATTTTTGTGTTGTGTTTCTCTAAAACCTTGGGCAGACTGGGTATGGGGCACATCCCTGTAATTACAGCACTTGAAGGACTGAGGTAGGAAGATCCCAAGTGTGAGGTCAACTGGACTATATAGTAAGAACTCGCCTCAAAAAAAAAAAAAAAAAAAAATTCAGATAAACAAGAAAGCAATTTAGAAACCTGAGAATGTTCCCAGAATCTGGAAGAAGACACTGCGAGTTGAACGAGGCAATCGGCTGGAGTGGAAAGAAATGCCTTCTGAGTAAATCCAGTTACTGAATTCTCTTTGACAACTTCCGGAATCAGTCTTCCAGCAGAGCTAGACACTGTTCTCTTAACCATATCTATTTTTTGTAACAGTACATATTTACATACATGCACATATGGCGAGCGAGAGATGACGTGAGCCTCTTCTTGAAGAACGGGAGTAATAAGGATTATTTCCTTACTGGCAAGTGCTCGTGATAGGTTGCTGTTAAAGCGGGCAGATAGGCAGTGACCAGCATTCACACCTGCAAGAGTCCTCTGCAGGTGGCAGTTGGAAAAGCAAAGCGGTGCACCCTCTCCTGGGGGACAGGCTCTTGCTTTCCCTTTGCTCGTCTGCAGCCAGGGTACACATTCATTTGACATGGACCTGATTTCCTCCTCGATGGCTGGTCATACAGACTCTTCTAGACTAACTATCTCTGCCGGATTTAGGGGGATATTGTTTTGTTGATGTTGAGGGGAAAGAGACCTGTGAAAATTCTGTCTGGGTAAGTGGCGGATTCTCAGCGATGGGAAGGAAGACTTAGAAGCCGCTGGGGAAAGCAGCCTTCCCCGGCCTCCACTTCTCGCCTTCTCCTTACTCTGCGAGTGGCCTCCCTTGGAGACCCCAGGGGGGCACATCGGTATTTGATCCGCTCTTTTCCTTCTGGCAGCCGGCACTCGGAGGGGCTGGCCACACATCACCGAGTTGCTGAAGCCGGCGCCCAGCCCCGCAGGCAGCTTTGGAAGGACCAGCTCCGGGCTCGCCTCCTCGCCGGGGTGGCTCTGCTTCGAGGCCCCCGGCGCGGTCCCACCATGCGCGGCTGCGGGCGGCTGGCGCTGCTCTGCGCGCTGCCTTGCCTACTGCGGGCGGCGGCTCCCCGGCACCCGGCAGAGCCCCCAGCGCAATCGGCAGCTCTGCACCGCGGTCGCCGCGACCCGGCCAGGGGTGCAGACTTCGATCGGGTCTACAGCGGGGTGGTGAGTCTCAGCACCGAGAACATCTACGCCTTCAACTACACCAACCAGCCTGGCCAGGTAAGACGCTCGCCGCCTGCGCCGACTCCTACAACTTACCAGATCGCCCAGCTCGCTCGGTGCCCAACAGACCTGCAAAGACTCCGGGGAACAGGAAACCCTCACTCCCTTCCCTTCTCCTGAGAAGCAATCGCTGCCCGGCCTCAGTTGAGGCCACCAGCTTGGGGGTACCTCGCGCCCCCCACCCTAGTTGCTGGCATTTCTGGGCTTTGCAGAGGCGCTGCGACCCGCATCTTCTGCGGATCCTGGTTGGGGCTGGGCCTTTCTCCAGGAAAGTCTGCAGGTCTGGGTTCGCGGGAGGGTGGATGAGGGCCAGGGAGGATAGACCTCTGTTCTTAATCTCTGAGGAGAAGGAACCTCATTTCATGGGATTCGAGACCCTTCTATCTGATGGCACGTGGGGAGGCAGAGGTGCTCAGAACCTAAAATGGACCGCGTGTGAGAGTGGACAGACTGCAGAGTCTCGGGGTGCTCAGTAGTCGGTTCCTGCGTTCCCTACCATGGTAACACTGCGCTTCAGGGAAGCCAGGAGACCCACGGAAAAGACATTTGTATCTGAGAGTTCAGCTGATGTATCCAGGTTTTGATTGTAAATAAGGGAGAAAATGTGTGCGAAAGTTCTAGAGCTGTTTGACAAGAGTTGAATGAGACGAGGAGGGAAGGAGGATTATTTCCGTAATTATGCCTCTGACTTAAAAATGATTATATAATGTAAAGTAGTGCATGTAATTCACATTTTTCCTCCAACACGGTACCTCACTCTCCAGTATACCTGCCTTTGTGTCTACTTCCCTTATAAAATGTACAAATGCGTTCTTGTATTCCTTACGAAGGCAGCGTTTCCCTGCCCCTTTGGGAAATTCCAGAACCAGATAGATGTTTTGAATACAGCTATGTGCCTTCACCCCTGATTCTCATTCAGAGTCACAATTCCGAAACGTCCTTCCTTAAGACACAGGAGGGACCCGTGTGCCTGTCATTACTCTCAAACATCTTCCTGCTGTGTGTACTAAAAAAGTATCCTAAGTTCCCCATCTCCTGTCTAGCACCAAACCCTATGGCATTGTCTCCATGACAGTACAGCCCTCACCCTGCCCAGTGCTCCTGTAACCTAAGGTACTGTAGTAAGCAGAGAGGCTGTGTGCAAAGTCATCCCACTGCATACAGGTGAGAGGGGACAGTTTTTATTCTTCCATGCCCCACATAAGGATTACCCTCCTGCCCAGTGTGGGGTTCCCTCACCCGGTGTCTGCTATATTACACCTATGTTTCTAGCCCTGGGATTTCCTGGGAACAGATAGAAGTCTGAAACTCTCATGATGTCTGGGGTGGAGTTCTACCTTCACTAAATCAAATTAGGTGCTCAAAGAAAGTCAGGACAGGCTTTGGTATTTCTTACAGTTCTACTTAAAGGCAAACTAGCTTCTTTCTAAGATTTATTTTTATTTTAAGTGTATGTGTGAGTGTCTGTACACACACACACACACACACACACACACACACACACACCACATGCATACCTGGTACTCAAGGAGACCAGAAAAGGGTGTTGAATCTCCTGGAACTGGAGTTATATAGGTGGTTGTGAGCTGCTGGATGTGGGTGTGGGAACTGAACCCAGATCCTCTGGAAGAGTAGTAGGCCCTCTTAACCACTGAGCCATCTTTCGTTTTTTTCTTTTCCTTTCTTCTTCCTTCCTCTTCCTCCTCCTCCTCTTCCTCCTCCTCCTCTTTCTCCTCCTCTTCTTCTTCCTCCTCCTCCTCCTTCCTCTTAGATAGGGTCTCACTACATAGACCAGACTGATTTAAAACTTGCCATCTTCCTGCCTCAGCTTCCTGAATGCTGAGATGAGGATGTGCTGCTCCTTTCTGGCAGACTGCTGTTTTATGCCGCTTCTGCCTTTTCCCTTAGTATTGTCAGAATTCCTCTACCCCAGTGCAGGTTCCCCTCTTTGCAGCTAAGGTCACCTCCTTGACCTTCCTAGGAAACTTTGAGGTATTGAGGGCAAGGGCACAATCATGTTCTCAGTATTTCAGAGGCTCATAAATATTTTCTATGAAAAATGAATGAATAAATGAATAAAAAACCAAGGAATACTTAAGCTGAAGTGAAATAAGAAAAAATAAGAAAAATATTCTCCTATGTCCTTTCCATGTTACCTATATGTGTATTAAAAAGTCCTTTATTATTGAGACAATGGTGATAGTTTCAAAAACATCTTTGAATAGTACAATAAAACATCAACTATAGTGGTGGTGCACACTTTGAATCCCAACACTCAGGAGGCAGATGTGGGCAGATCTCTGTAAGAACCATGGGCCTAGCAGATGTCAATTATTTTAATGCCAGTGTGCAAGAGCTTTCAGAGGCATATCTTTAATATGCACATAAGAGAGAGGAACCCTCAGCCCACTTACTATGGGAAGTTAATTTCCAGTCACATTTCTGTTGATTTCTCTAGGTTTTCCAGATCCACCTGGTCAAATACTCACACTCAGTTCCTACCCAAAGCTTTCTTCTCTTCTTAGTCTGTTTTGCTCCATGCTTGACAACAGGAGCCTCTCCTTCCAATGCCATGAACGGGTCTGCAACAGACTTTTACTGAAGGTTTAGAATAATGTGAGGGCGGGCTGAAGAGGTGGCTCAATGGTTAAGAGCACTGGCTGCTCATGTACAGGACCTGAGTTCGATTCCCAGCACCCACATGGTAGCTAACAACTGTCCAGGGATCCAATGCCCTCTTCTGACCTCTGTGGGCACTGCACAGCATGGGTGTACTTACACACGTGCAGACAAAACACTCATACATACAAAATAAAAATAATAAATTTTTTAAAATTAAAAAAAAAGAAAAATTTGAGGGAATTACTGCACAGCACAAGATAGTTGATAGATTAAATCAGAGGTACTCTCTTACAGGTATGGGACTCTTGGTGGACCCACTGAAGGACATTTGGGGACTCTGTAGGCCATATAATATATATTTTTTTAATTTAAATTTTAAAAAAGTGTGTATGAGTGTTTTGCATGCATGGATGCAAGTGCACCTGCATTGCTCAATGCCCATGGAGGCCTGAAGAGGGTGTCAGATACCCCGGAACTGGAAATACAGACAGTTGTTAGCTGTCCTTTGGGTACTGGGAACCAAACCCAACCCCTCTGCAAGAGCAGCCAGTGCTCTTAACCGCTGAGCCATCTTGCCAGCCCCCCAGACTTGAGCATTTTTAACCATTTCCTCACTCTTATTCCCCAATACTGGCCATCAGCAAACTTTGTGTTATTGTCTCATGTTGAACATTTTCTCTCCAGTGCCAGCTCCAAACTCACTAAGAAGCTAATTAGAGATCTGTGATGTCCATAGGAGAAGCTGAGTCATGATTAATTTTCCTCTAACCTGAGCAATGTCTTGGTCGGGCATGGAAATCTCCCCTTAGAGTCATTTCTCAATACCCTTTTTCGATCAAGATTTTGGTTTAGAAAAAAAAGTCCAATTTTTTAGCTTCCATCCTTTCTATTCTCTTTGTCATTCTTGTTTGTCATTATTTGTCCTTGGCTTTGGAGAAGAAAGTCTATACTGATTTGGGCCTTGATGAAGACAGGATGGGGCAGGAAACTTCCCCAGCCATTCCCGTTAGTCACTGCATCTCCTTTACCAAATACTGTCCCAAGAATGATTCCACCAGACTTGGTTGCACTGAACTGAACTCAGCACCAGGAAAAGTCTGATGTGTCTTCCAGGCATGACTTAACGTAAATATGAAGTTGACATTTAAAAACATTGCTGAAAGAATGGAGTGGAGAGTTTAAAGACAAATAGTGAAAATGCTGATTGAAGGTTCAGGTTTAGCAAGATGGGGTTCATTTTAGTTCTCTGGGGAGGAAGTCTGCCTAGACTCCTTAGTTGGGGAGTAGAGTTACACTGTGCAAACAGGATGCAGAACCAGAAGGCTCAGTCAACTAGCAGGAAATCACCTTGTAGGAAAGTCACTAGGGATATGTTTGGGACAAGGACACAAACACAGGTTTACTGGGAAATAAGAATACACTTACAGAGATGGAGAATAAACAGTGCTTCTGCTGGAGTTGGCTCACCATCAGAGTCTTGTACAGAAAACTGCAGCTACTGTGCCCCACACTTCTCAGGGTTAAGGGAACATAATTCCATATTTGTCATAGCATTTGAAATGAATTTATCTTCTTTAAAAAATGTTTACATTAGTTCTTTGAAAATTTCATACAATTGTGATATTTATCCCAACTCCTCCCTCTAGATTCACCTCCACCTTCCTATCGATCCCCCACCCCCCAATTCCTGACCTCTTTTTTTTTTTTCTGTCTTTTTAAGACAGAGTCTCCCTGTAGCCACAGCTGGCCTGGATTCACTATGTAGACCAGGCCAGAGAGGTCACCTGCCTCTGCCTCCCTCCTGAGTGCTAGGATTAAAGGTGTGTGCTATCATACCTAGATAACCTCTTTTTTTTTTCTTTTTTAATGACCAATTTTCACTCCAATTTTAGCTGGCCATGCATGTACTTCTGGGCATGCGGCCATCCACTGGAGTGTTATCAACTTACCAGTAGTCACACCTTTAAAGAAAACTGACTCATATTTCTTTAAGAGTTCAAGGGATTACACTTCCCAGACATTAGGCTTAAGTCTATATAAAAAGTTATTTAAACAATTATTTCTCATTGACGATTTTGTTCCTAACCAGAAAAATGCTGCTCAGATATAAGATATCTTGGTCTCCAATACTGTAGGGCCCACCTGTAGCTAAGGGAGACAACCAGCTATTGTTCTAAAAAGATGGATAAATTTGTTTTCTCCCCTTATCTAGAAGGCTTTGAGAGGGAACTGACACTGATTCTAACCACTCCAACTGCTATCAAAATATCTGAAAGCAAATCCTGGATCCATCACTCTAGAGTCCAGCCTTGGAAGACAAAAGAAAAATGAGGAAGAACCCAATAGAGGGATGCTTTTGGAAACCCTTGACAAGA